TCATTACCAGACATGTTGAGGAGGTAATTTAGCCATTTGAATCAGCTGTGTTGGATCAGGCATATATCTAAAACCTGCAGGACAGCGGCCTTCGAGGCCTGGAGTTCTCCCACTCCTGCTCTAAAGTATCCCAAACAGGATAAGTTATCTACTGCAAGCTGATTGGCCGAGGGTCAAGAAAAGGAACTGTGTGCATGGGTGTGTGTTGTCAGTAACAACAGGCGTGTTTGAGCGTCTTGATTACAGAAACATAAAATTGTTACTGTTGTTGTTGAAGCTTCACTGTCCCGCTGCCTGTCTCGCCCTGTGTGCGCGCAGATCGGAAAACTGTCTAAAAACAAGAAGAAGAAGTTGAAAAGAAAAGCAAAGCGACAGCAGAAGTTGTTAGAGGAGAGACTGTTTGATATACAGGTACAGTAGTATTGCAGTAACAGTACTGTGAAACATGCTGCACTAGTCCTCCAGCAGTACTGCAGGGTTAACTCTTCTGTTTGTGTGTTCAGAGGATGGAGGAAGAGGATGGTGTGCTGCAGGCTGAGGATGCAGACAGTATCGGTGAGTGCGACCGTTAGTAAAGGCTGAAGTAGAATTTGTTGTCTAACACAGTATAAATACGGTGTTTCTTTGTTCTTAGGCTCTCTGGTTGTCAATGGCAACACTTCCTGCTCTATAGCCAATAGCAAAACCAGCCCAGAGTCCAACTGCTCTTGGTTTGAGGATGGGTGTAACGGCCACGCCCCCGGACGGTTCTCAAGTCCCGCTTCTGGCCTATCAGGGTTCTCCAGCTCAGTGATGTCAGCAACGTCTGAATCGGCACTTTCTACTCAGTCCGGATACTCGAGTGGACGAGAAGGTTGGACACGCTCACACGTTTCAATTTAATACTTCGCCTTTAGTCATCGTTTGTAGTCTGTTTTTGTAGCAACTGAGAGATTTTTGGCCCATTCTCCCTAGAAAGACCTCCAGTTTTATATTTCACTACTATCTTTCTCACACTGCTCTAAGTTACTCTACAGATTTTAGGATAAAGAGCAGGTTCTGATCAGGGGACTGAGGACCAGCCCAGGGAGGCATCCCCTACAATGATATGATGATGAAGCTAAGGAGTTGCTCTACTCTTAGCTCCTCCCACAGATCTTTCAGAGGAAGCTGATTTGTACTCCTTGTATCAAAGTGATCCTCAGACTCAACAATTCAGACAGCCCACTGTCCCCAAAATTCTATCCAAATATGTTCTGTACACAGCATAAGCTAACCACACTTGATGGGACTTCTTCAGCTCAATGGTTGGTTAGGGAACGCTGAACTGGAGGTGGAACGTGGCCCATTTATACTCTCAGAGTCCTGTAATCTCTGCCAAATGAAAGTTTAAATCTCCTGGACTGGGACCTCTGCCAAACGCTCCCACGCCACCCTCGCTATATGCTTTAGTATGCCAGACATGCTCCCTCACCTCATGATCCTACTTGCCGCCGAGTGGTGATCTTTTGACAGTTTGGGTCCTCTTCATCCAAACAGCTGAAAGAGTCTGATGATGGTCCGATGATGCAGTCAGAAAATCTAGAATTGAGTGGCAGCCTAGGATGTCCTGTTGCTAACTGATGAACATGCTAATGCTCAAACATGGTGTTATGGGCAAACTACGAGTCCAATAATAGAACACCACCACTCCGGACCACCAGGTTTGTCCACGTGACCACTGAAGCCACCCAGCAGAAGTTCTTCTAGCACCTCACTCAGTGTTTGCAAATTAGCCAAATCCTTCTAACTGCTGCATTAACACAAACAGCAGTTAAACCAATCAGGTTTAACTGATTTTTCTTTTTTTAAATTTCAGCATTCAGCGCCTCCGACTTTGTCCTGAGTCCTCTGGATTCCCAGAACGCAGACAAGATCAGAGTGAAGATCGCTGATCTGGGAAATGCATGCTGGGTGGTGAGAATCCTTTTTCACGGTCATCTCTTCCTCTCGTTTATTTTCCCGTCAGACCAATCAGACGGCTCCTCTCTCTTTTCCCGTCTTATGTCTCTTTTCCAGCACAAACACTTCACAGAGGACATTCAGACCAGACAGTACAGAGCTCTGGAGGTTCTGATTGGAGCAGAGTACGGACCCCCGGCTGACATCTGGAGCACTGCCTGCATGGTACACGTACTCACTGGTGCAAAATACATAGACATGCTTTACATGCGGGATTTTCCCCAGTCTGACTGTTACAGCATATTCATCAGACCATTGTTGTATGTAGCTATTAAATATTGTCCCTGTGTATAAATAAATAGGCCTTTTATTTCGAAAGCAATTCCCTAAAATAAACGAGATGAGAGCAGTGGTGTGTGAAACAACTCTGGTGAAATTAGGCAGCCTAAACTCTGTGTTTTATACACGGTCCCTGCACGATCCCATTTCCATTAAAGTCATCTGATCTGGATAATTTGATGAAGATTGTTTGTTTCAAGGTTGATCTGACAGATTGTTTATGAAATGCAGTTTCTACCCATCTGGCAACATGTAAAAGTTGCTGATCTGTGTTTTTCTGTTATTCTGACTGGTTTGAGGGTCACACAGTAATGGGAGTGTTGGCTGTCACTGCACAAACTGATGCTCAGAAGGGATTTTGCAAGTCTC